TATCCACTCGGCCACTGAGTCCTGATAGCCACTTGCTTGTGCGATGGGGTGAAGTTTGAATTCACTTAGTATTGTTTGTTTGGATCTTCCCATCGATGTGTTTAGGACTGCAACTGGTCAGTCTCTAATTGGCATATGTGCATACTGTGCGTATTGCCTCGATATACCTTAATTCACAAGCATGGTAAGCAGAGATGGATAGTGGCTAGCAGTGGAATCCAGGACGCGCGTTTCGTCCTATTTGGGACTCGTCAGCTGGATGTACCTGCATCTCAGAGTTGATGTTCACTCTGGGACTCGAACCCAGTACCCTCGCTTCAAACGCCATCGCGTTATCCACTCGGCCACTGAGTCCTGATAGCCACTTGCTTGTGCGATGGGGTGAAGTTTGAATTCACTTAGTATTGTTTGTTTGGATCTTCCCATCGATGTGTTTAGGACTGCAACTGGTCAGTCTCTAATTGGCATATGTGCATACTGTGCGTATTGCCTCGATATACCTTAATTCACAAGCATGGTAAGCAGAGATGGATAGTGGCTAGCAGTGGAATCCAGGACGCGCGTTTCGTCCTATTTGGGACTCGTCAGCTGGATGTACCTGCATCTCAGAGTTGATGTTCACTCTGGGACTCGAACCCAGTACCCTCGCTTCAAACGCCATCGCGTTATCCACTCGGCCACTGAGTCCTGATAGCCACTTGCTTGTGCGATGGGGTGAAGTTTGAATTCACTTAGTATTGTTTGTTTGGATCTTCCCATCGATGTGTTTAGGACTGCAACTGGTCAGTCTCTAATTGGCATATGTGCATACTGTGCATACTGCCTCCATATACCTTAATTCACAAGCACAGTAAGCAGAGATGGGACGAGTCCCAAATAGGACGAATCGCGCGTCCTGGATTCCACTGCTAGCCACTATCCATCTCTGCTTACCATGCTTGTGAATTAAGGTATATCGAGGCAATACGCACAGTATGCACATATGCCAATTAGAGACTGACCAGTTGCAGTCCTAAACACATCGATGGGAAGATCCAAACAAACAATACTAAGTGAATTCAAACTTCACCCCATCGCACAAGCAAGTGGCTATCAGGACTCAGTGGCCGAGTGGATAACGCGATGGCGTTTGAAGCGAGGGTACTGGGTTCGAGTCCCAGAGTAAACATCAACTCTGAGATGCAGGTACATCCAGCTGACGAGTCCCAAATAGGACGAAACGCGCGTCCTGGATTCCACTGCTAGCCACTATCCATCTCTGCTTACCATGCTTGTGAATTAAGGTATATCGAGGCAATACGCACAGTATGCACATATGCCAATTAGAGACTGACCAGTTGCAGTCCTAAACACATCGATGGGAAGATCCAAACAAACAATACTAAGTGAATTCAAACTTCACCCCATCGCACAAGCAAGTGGCTATCAGGACTCAGTGGCCGAGTGGATAACGCGATGGCGTTTGAAGCGAGGGTACTGGGTTCGAGTCCCAGAGTGAACATCAACTCTGAGATGCAGGTACATCCAGCTGACGAGTCCCAAATAGGACGAAACGCGCGTCCTGGATTCCACTGCTAGCCACTATCCATCTCTGCTTACCATGCTTGTGAATTAAGGTATATCGAGGCAATACGCACAGTATGCACATATGCCAATTAGAGACTGACCAGTTGCAGTCCTAAACACATCGATGGGAAGATCCAAACAAACAATACTAAGTGAATTCAAACTTCACCCCATCGCACAAGCAAGTGGCTATCAGGACTCAGTGGCCGAGTGGATAACGCGATGGCGTTTGAAGCGAGGGTACTGGGTTCGAGTCCCAGAGTGAACATCAACTCTGAGATGCAGGTACATCCAGCTGACGAGTCCCAAATAGGACGAAACTCGCGTCCTGGATTCCACTGCTAGCCACTATCCATCTCTGCTTACCATGCTTGTGAATTAAGGTATATCGAGGCAATACGCACAGTATGCACATATGCCAATTAGAGACTGACCAGTTGCAGTCCTAAACACATCGATGGGAAGATCCAAACAAACAATACTAAGTGAATTCAAACTTCACCCCATCGCACAAGCAAGTGGCTATCAGGACTCAGTGGCCGAGTGGATAACGCGATGGCGTTTGAAGCGAGGGTACTGGGTTCGAGTCCCAGAGTGAACATCAACTCTGAGATGCAGGTACATCCAGCTGACGAGTCCCAAATAGGACGAAACGCGCGTCCTGGATTCCACTGCTAGCCACTATCCATCTCTGCTTACCATAATGTTTGTGTTGTTACAAACTTGATAGAGTTCTATCACAGTACTAAGAAACAACTAGACTACATGATAACGTGAATGCTACTTGCTATAACGAGTGAGTGTGTGCGTGGGCCCTGTTTGACATATGAACGTGCTGATTTCCGCCAATGAGAAAAGAGCGAATTATCGATTGGGACAGTGACACACGAAAACTATACGAGCAGTCTAGAGTGCTTGTCAGTCCTGATTTCTGCCCAGCCCAGCCCAGCCAGTTAAGATCAGAACACTAATAACAGCCTCTGCTATATGAATCATTATTCACAAACACACAAGGTTTATATACCAATCAAACTGACCACATCGTACCATAAAATAGGAAATAACAATTGTACAATATTTAGCCAAATGTGGCTGTGAATAGGGGGAAAGTAATCAATAGACTGATGATAACTCAATAATCGTATAGTGATAGTTCAGGGGTCAATATAAATCTTTTGATAAGAGGAACACGAATATGAATAGTTTAGTTACGTAACAATTATACAATAGGAAATAGACATATTACATTGGTCCATAAATAGTCCTCAAAAGTTACCATTCACAATTCTCTTCGGGATACAACACTACTAATTAATTAGTCGGAGAAAATATTTATACCAATATTATTAGATATTAGTTGCTAACCAAATAGCTCCGATTGTATTACTCATTGGGATTGAATTATTTGTAAAGTACCAAAATATTCAAGACAGTAAATTCGTTTCGGTGATACATTTTAAGTAGTGTGATCTCTGTATAAACCTTGCTACCGATAGATTTCAACAATCAGACATTTCGAATCTTTAATTATGTTTTTAAATGTATAGTATAGAAAGAATAATAAAAAGACCTTTTTAACAAGTACAAATTTCGCGTCATTCATTGTTTATCTATAGGTATGCTTGGTTTGTGCATGGAAACTAGTTTATGTTTACTTAAGTAAATGGTAAACTATTACTACTATGAATACTACTACTAGTACTACTACTACTACTACTACCAATAATAATAGTAATTATTAGCAGTACTTTAAAGAGCTTCTTAATTCAACCATTACAATGAATAAGTGAAATAGATTATAGTTTTGATCCACTAATCAATAAATTTAATAAGTTCGCTTAAAATGAATCACATGAAATGGTTACATTGTAAAAAAAAATGTGCTTAAAGGATCATTTTTATTGATTAGAAAATTGTTTTGATTGGTTATGATCATATTTATACTGATAAATTGACTAATAAAATACTGATTGATTGATGAGATGTGTGATAATTGCTGACAAGACTGAACTCCCTGATGCGTTGTATTCATTTGATGGATTCTAAAATTAGATGAGCCTAAAAGCTAGTTTTTTATAATTACGTGTATCTACAACAGTGAAGGGATTAATATTGCGTAGTAGCTCAATTAGAAATATTACCACATTACATATATACACAAAATTCCTATTTTTAATTATCTGATATTCAACTTTCGGCTTACGTCTCCGAACCATGCTTCATTTAACTCGCTCTTAGTAACCTTAATTGTTTCTCCATCCACAAGATGGTATGGGTCCTAGCTTAATACATGAAATTGTTTTTCAGTTAATTAATCGACTGTAGCATTTTGAATAAATCTATAAATCAAAAGGGCTTTTGTAGAGATTTCAGTATTTTCGTAGTTGAAATCATTAGTCAATTGAAGCTAGACCACCATGGAAAATCTGGAAGCACTGGACGGCCGTTTCGTCCTATTATGGGACTCCTCAGCAGTGCGCATCCACGATCCCGCATTCGCAACCCAAGACTTACCGGTCTCGCGCCAGAGCACTTAACCGATATCGTCATTTTATTCGACAGAGTAGTTTAAGTAAATTTTGATTTATATTATATTATTAAACAAAAACTTCATTAATCAACAAATTGTATTTTTATCAATTGGACCCATTACAATTATTCATTTTGTCATGTGAAAGTAAACACGATACTTGAATATCTGTTGCGTTTTAAAACATTTTGACTGAGTTTTAATCTATTTTGAAGTACTGTGGTTTAGTGCTAGTTAATGTTTGGAAGTAAGGCTTTTTGAAACTCTTGTGGAAACTAATGTTCCTTATTGATTTGTACCTGAGTCATCCAGGGCTAAAGTCGTAAAAGTTATCACTGAGCTTTTTGGCATTTTGACTTCAATAATGGAATACGTGGATTAGCGATTATTTCAATAATGCAGATACACTATGTTAACGTGAGGCAACTAGCATGAAACCTAGATCTAGAGCTGTTTTTTGGTTTCTTCCAACCTTCTAATATCGGGTAAAGTGCACCATGATATTGAATCACTTAGCTCAATGGCCATAGCGGTGGATCACTATCCCATTCACAACGTCGGTGAACTCCGCTAGTCACCACAGATAATGGCTGAAGGTTGCACAATATCGTGAATTGATTAAAGTTGTACATGAACACCGTCAGATACAGACTCAGTCGTCCAAAAGTTAGATGTTGGTGTGTGAAGTCAGAGGTCCTGGATGCGATTCTTAGGCGTGGTGTCGTGAATGTGCACTGATGAGGAGTCCAACTCTATGATGAAACCTTAATCCCATGCTTGCAAGTTTTCAGTACTGATTCACTTAAGATTAGTTTATGTTTAAATTATAAAATCAATATTGACATTGTTAATTATTTACGTGGTAATACATCTAATTATTTAATTCACTAATATTTGATTAAAGTGGTTCATACATCTATCCAGTTGGTTCAGTAAAGTTAATTTCCAGTAAAACAGTGACAGATGAACAAAATTCCCTAGTTCATTCAACTGATGATAACGTCGATCATGGTATAACTAATCTTAATTTAAATGAAGAAGATAAAAGAAGTGTAAATGATCAACAGAGTAACAGTAGTATAGAAAATGGTGAGTTATTTGATTTATCATACTTTTGAGTTCTGTTGTTTATATTCTATTTTAAAATATAATGTAAAAAGGTAAGAATCATTAATTACCACTTCGCGACCTTATTATTATTAGCTTTATTCAATATTATACTTTTGGTAAGAAATGGAATTCTCAGCACAAAGTACTTCAACAAGTTCCCGTTTCTTACTTCTTCGTTCTACTTGACAATAAATATTGTGTGATCGCCAGTTAGAAGTTAACAGCTCAGTCAATCGATATCTGAATAATGTACATTCTTCTCGCAACATATTGCCAGCAACCACGATATATCTGATTAGGCCTTCTGTAACCTTTACAGTGAAAGGTCTTACACTTTTCAGAAACGCACCTGAATAGGTTGTGCGATTAATAGCCATAATGATGTATTAAAACAAACGAAATTAGGTAACTTGTTGAAATATCTAGATGACAGGAACAGGTAGCCGAGATGTTTAGACAGGCCGCCAACGCTTTTCTATCTGTAAATAATTATCTGTTGTATCGTGATTTATATTAACTTGATTAAATATTTTGTACAAAAAACGGTTTTAATTCTTTGATTATATACTTAAATATCATTTGACTAGTGATTCTGTTCTGCTCAATTTATGTGATAGGGATTTCGGAACCCATTACTTGCTATTTTTACCACTTCAAACATTAAAATGTTTTATCAAATTAGCCATGTTATTATGAAACTAATGGATTATTACCGAACATTATTCATGTAAATCTTTTAAAGACGGAAAAAGTGGGAGATTAAGATATAACAGCATAGTTTATGGTACTTAAGTGCTTCAAGTCAAGTGATTAAACTTCAAAAAAGAAAGGAAATTAATCGAGACAAAATCTATACAAATTAATGATGACATTATTGATACAGCAAAGATGAGTATTAAAATAATATTCTTCAAGTTGAAGATAATGATAGTAGAGAATCAGTATGTCCCTGTCTAATGATTTTGTTGTTAAAACTCCATATTTTTTATCAATGAGAAAAATGACAAACTATTAACAAGAGGTTACACATATCTCACTGAATGATTTCTAGATTTTAAATTAGATGTATTAGCTTAGTGATATTTTTCTGTGTGTGTGTGTTAAACAAGTAGACTAGACATTGACAGTAAGTTTAACTCCTAGTGTTTTAACACATAATTTGTAATCAGAAAGGAGTTTTGTTGATATTACAGTAACTTAATAGTTGAGTTCGTGAGTTAATTAAAGCTAGCCGACCATGGAAAACCTGGAAGCATTGGACGGCCGTCTCGTCCTGATATGGGACTCATCAGCAGTGCGCATCCACGATTCCACCAGCGGAATTCGAACTCAGGACCTATCGGTCTGTCGCGCGAATGCTTAACCTCTAGACGATTGAGCTGGCATCCAATGGTGTTATTGTCTAACTTCAACCCATCCACATAATTTGTAGCTAATAAACCAATAATTATGAATTTTCTGGTCGTCATCCAGAATTTCAGTAGATGATTTTTTATTTAAAGCAATTTCAATTCTATCAGGAACTTTCATCTCTCACTTGATTGTCTTCGTACATCACAGTTTTTCATTAAAACTTTGTTAGATTCATCTTAATGTTAATCATTAAGTATCATTTATTGTTTAAATCACGAAATTCAGCGAATGGATCTCTTTTCAACGAATTTACTATCAAGCTGTACAATCGTATATATATGAAAATGTACTAATTCCGCGAGAAAGTGTGAACACTAATAACCAAGATTATAATACTAGATTACGTAATACGAGTAGTAACAATAGATTTAGTGAATAGAATAAGATGATTAAAATGTTTTGGTTACGTTAATTAAAGGTCATTAAAGGTCATAGAGGTGTAAAAATAAATAAGGTGATATGGTAATATGATGAGTATTCATGAATAAAATAATAAGAATATAAAACATAAGCAAATGGGTAATGTAGTAATAATAATAGAATAATCATAATATTAAGGCCATGGTAACGATAATGATAAGACGTACTTCTTTTGTACGCATAGTTCTGGTTTGAGCTCATGGATGGTAAGAGCTTCGGCTATTTTTAAAAGTTTGATACGAAGAAATCTAGGTAGATTTGAATGAATCATATAAACAACCTTAAAATCAGACTGTAGATCGGTAGAATGATTACAGTCGATTAGGTGTTCAAGTATAGAACTTCTAACTGCTTTCTTTTCACCCTTGTAGAACCAAACTGGGATATGTTCTCGTATCCGAGTTGAAAGCGAGCGTTGGCTATATACAATTGTACAGCTTGATAATAAATTCGTTGAAAAGAGATCCTTTCGATGAACTTCGTGTTTTAATTTTATTGTTAGGCCAAATTTTTTTTTATAGTAACAATTGAACATAAACCCTTTTTATTATCATTTTGTTTAGAAAATCAACGATTATCAAATGAAGTATTTATATACAAACAGTCTACTAATCGTGGTTTCATTTCTTATTCTATAATAAAATCTTTTAATAATAATGAGGATACAAATGATACAATTCATATAGAAGAAGATGTTAAATCAACATCGGCGATAGATGGTGTTAAATATTGTATTGATTTATCACAAATAGAAAAATTGGTTCTCTTATTTGAAGAATTTACAAATACACCTTGTCTTAATCAACTACAAGCCGGTGGTAAATTAAACGATTTTTTAAAGATAATAATTTAAACTACTTTTAGTGGTATTATGTTTTTCTGTTCAGAGCATAAAACACTGTTGATTTATCAGAAGGGGGTTTCGTGGAGAATTTAGTAATTTTATATTGTTGAGATCATGAGTCAATTGAAGCTAGACCACCATTGATCGGTTAAAGTTAGACATTTACACCGTTGGATACCGGCTAGTGGTTAAGTGCTAGCGCGTGAGACTGATAGGTCTTAGGTTTGAATCTCGCGAGGCGGGATCGTGGATGAACACTACTGAGGAGTCCCACAACAGGACGAAACGGCCATTCAGTGCTTCCAGGTTTTCCATTGTTGATTTATTTGATAACGGAAGAACTTTGATTAAAGGTGGTAAAACGTTTCATTATTTTTATCAGTATTTATCAGTAATATATACCAGTTAGTGTCAGATAGAGACTATCGAAGAACATCTCAAAAGGAAGAAATGAGATAAAAATTTTGGAAGACAGTCAGTTGAGGTTAATGAATGCAGATTCTCTAATGATTCAGCTCAGAGAATCCAGTACAAAAAAATCATGTATCTGAATTACAAATCTTTTCTATGACTATATAATTTAAACACATTACTTGTAGTTTTAATAGCCCTTACCTAACAATATTGAAGATCAATTAAAAGATATGGGTTCCTCTTAATTTTTACCTATTTTCAAAGTCTCACCACAGATTGATCCAATTTTCCAACCATTCCTAAAGAATATGATCTTTCAAATGCTTGTCATAAAGATGTAACTTACTACGTAATTGACTAAAAAAGATCCGTTAATTTGTCATAGTTCAAGTCTTTTTTATCTACGCATATAGTGACTTATCTATCCTTGATCAACATTCATGACAAATTACCCATATTTTAAGGTAACAAGACAATAACAACGTAAGACTGTTTCCTTTCAAAGCAACAATGCAGGCATGTTCGGGATGCGATTCTCTCCCACGAAATGCAAAATGTTACTTCAGAATTGGGTTGCATCGGCATATGAACTAGTGATAGGGAGTGAAGTAGTTGAGCATGTTAACCGCTTCACTTATCTTGGGAGTCTCGTCAGCCCTTGTGGTCTGGTGTGTGACGAAATCTCAGAACGGATACAGAAGGCTCGTCTAACTTTCGCCAACGTGCGCCATTTATGGCGTAGGCGAGATATCCGTCTACCGACTAAAGGATGGGTTTACTGCGCAGCAGTTCATTCCGTCCTACTTTATAGCAGTGAAACATGGCCGGTAAGAGTAGATGATATTCGTAGGTCGCTAGTATTTGATCATAGGTGTTTTCGAATCATTGCTTGTATATCCTGGGACCACCGGGTAAGTAATGCAGTTGTTAGGAAACGGGTACTATATAAGGATGGCAAATCGATTGATTAAAGTAGTGAAACTTCACTAGTTGAGATGACTGGGACATGTGTTACGTATGCCCAAACACCGACTGCCTCGACATGCAATGTTTTGTGGTGTAGGAGTAGATTGGAAGAGAGCTAGGAGCGGCAAGACCAAAACGTGGCACAAGTGCATGAAGTCAGTGACCATCCATATAGCTAATCATGAGAATAAAGGAGAAATAAGTTATAAATACTAGAAGCCAATTTACTCTAATTGTTTTCAGTGTGGTAGTTTTGCATTGTTTTAACAAATACATAAAGTCGATTGAAGTTGTTTAAGTTTTCTTTACAATTTTTAATTTACCAAGTTGATTTGTATGTCAAATATTTGATTGCAAGTTTCTTACGAACATAATAATCTAACTGATGTCTTGCAAACCTTTTGATAGCGTTGTGTACACCGTGAGTAGATTATATCATCCTTCTAGGCCAATTTAATTATAGCAATTTCGCTGATGCGAACTAGTAATTTGTATTTTGGATTAGATCTTTGAAATAGATAGATTGGACAGTCATTATTAAAATCATTGTTGAGCGAATTTTTCGAAAGTTTAGTCGTTAATTTACACCATACTCGATCGATGGAATTTGATTGGAACTGAATACAGCAAATGATTGCATCAGTTTATTTTGGATTGATAAATTAATCTCTACGTTATTCTACTCAACAGTTCATGAGTCCCGAGTTCTCTTTTCAGTGGATCCTTGGATCTACACCACTAAGGAGTCCCATATCTTGAAGAAACAACTGTTCACTGTTTCCTGGTTTTCATTGTTTGCTTAACCATGATTACTCGGTGATCTGTACCATAAGATTCATAATGTTTTGTAATCTGTTAATTGCTTCTTTTTTGAAAAGTGTGGTTTTCTGTGTTAATGAGTTGCTTGTTAAGTTTTACTCAGTTCTATTACTCACTTCATATCTTGATGTGTATGACCTATTTGTTTTTTTTTATTCGTCTAGAACAATTTATTCTAGTCGTTGAAGATATAACACCACGGAATGAAGAGGAGAATGAAGAATTTCATATGGATACGATTCCAGATCATATTCTGAGAACACCAGAACGTCTTTCGCCACTCTTTATCAAGTTATATTACGCTTCAAATAAATAATTTATTAAATGATTTAGAAATTTAGGAAAACGTATAACAATCTATTACAATATAAATATGTGTTGTTATTCTATTTTACATTTTCAAATAAACGTTTAACGAAAGCACTTTTTGAGTAGACAGAATGTGGCTAATAGTGGAATCTACGATGCTCGTCTCGTTCTATTTCAGACAAGTCAGTTGAATGTACCTACATGCAAGTTGATTTCCATCTCAAAATTCGAGTTCATTATCTTTCACTCTAACCGCCAACGTGTTGTCGGTTTAGTTACTTAGTATAAATAGCTACTCGCTTGTGCACTGGATGTGAATTTCAACTTAATTTGTAACGTTTTGAATTACCCCTACGTTGATATTTGAAGCAAACAACACTAGGTCTAAGTCCTGAAGTGAACATGAACTCGAAGATGCAGATACATTCAGTTGAGAAATGCCAAATATGACGAAACGCGCATTCCGTAGTCCACTGCTAGCCACATTACACCCATTCTATATAATGTTTCATAGTAGCTGTATTGAGGGAATTCGCATAGGATGCACATATGCCAATTAGGATTGATCAAATTTCAGTTAAAGTATCAACAACAAGGTAATCCGCAGCATTACAAAATTAAACGAAAATTCACTTCATCTTCCAACTATGACATAAATAGTTGGGTTGAAAATTAACTAATATGAATAATGCTGTGACATAATTTTATTGGAAATAATCTTGCGCATAAATAGTTTGATGATGTGTATCATGAGTTAAGATACCGTCCCCGCGAAAAAAATTCCTCGTAAGATGATGTGGGTTATCTTTTACCATTAGTCCACTTCATAAAGTCACAGTATAATATTTTGAAGCATACATGGACATGTGAACATTTTAGCTAAAATTTCAAACAATAGAAATAGTCGGTTGAAGATCATGATGCAATTGGATTTGAAAATGATTCTAATGTCTCATTGTTTATTCTTCTTTCAATCTGTAATATTTGTGCGATTACCTTATCTATTCGATGTGTAAAAGAGCTAATCAATAAGAACCCTGACAAAACCGTGAAATTATTATTCCGGTTGAAGAAAGTTTCTCGGTCCGTTGTTTTGACGCCAATTAGATGGGACGATGATGCTGTCGACGGGCTCACCACTTTAGTGGCCCGATATCTGACTCCAATTCGATCGTGTAACTATCGTTATCGAGTTATACATTTCGTCAATCGTCGTATATAATTATCGACTTAAACCGCGTTAGTGAATAACGGAATTAAATAAGTTAAATACGAAAATGAACTTCAAATGCGTGTGTTTCACTCAATCGTTGATCCAGACAAACGGTCGAAGAAACGAAACGAAGCGAAATAATGCGCGGTAGAGAAGGCATGTAAGCCAGCTCACTTTAATCAAGCATTACTCAATATTGATAGTCAAGTGGAATCGAGGCGAAGCGAATAATTAACAAGGTCAAAATCCGACTCAAGAAGAATGAATAAATTGGTCCGTTCGAAAGCTACAATAGGTTATGTGGGCTTAACGTAGTTCCAGCCACTACAAAAGTATTAGACCTGTTTTTAAAATTTAATTCTTATCTACATCCTGAAGATACTTTAATCAGATGTTATAACATAAAATGTATGGATAAACAATGAAATCAATCTAGCTGGATGGTAAATATTTTGTTCTGTGGATTTTTTAAAAGCTCAACGACCAAACCATGCAGCTCAGAGAACAAAACTACATCAAAATTTTCTAAAACATTTATCATATAGATTTTTATAGTTCGAAGAGAATTATCACTATTGACTAAAATATCAGGTAAGGGATTACTGGAAATCGCGGAACATTATACTAACATACAAGTTAGTATGAGTAGTTGAATACTTCAAACATCTCATTACTAATTAGTTCATTCTAATGCTCAACCGTATAACTCAATGCTTTTGCTACTGCCTTTATTCCTAATTTGATTTGCTTCACAGTTTACCATAAGAACAATGATAAGTTCATTTCATTTTGTATTGGTTGTTTGAATCTTCCCATTGATGCTTAGAGATGCAATTGATAAGTGGTTATAAAGACTCAGCAGCCAGGTGGATAACATGACTGCATTTGAAGCAAACAGTACTGAGTTCGAGTCATGGAGTGAACATCAATTCTGGGATGCAGGTTCATACAACAGACAAGTCCCAAATAGAGTGAAACGCGTGTTCTTGATTTCACTGTTAGCCACCATCCATCTTTACTTATAATGTTTGTGACTTAAGATGATATTGAGGCAATCCTCACAGGATGCTCATATGCCAATAACAGACTGATCGATTGCAGTCCTAAACATCACTGTGAAGATTCAAACAAGCAATACAAACCCGATGGCGTTTGAAGCTAGCGATATTTTATTCGAGTCTTGAAGTGATCATTAACAAGTATATCCAACTGACAAGTTCCAAATAAGACGAAACATGCGTCCTTAATTCCACTGCTAACCACCATCTGTCACTGTTTATTATATTAGATTAGTTCATCTTGAAGTAGACTGGATACTTAAATTACGATTGTTATATACTAAAGTGGATTGTGAAACCAATTCATAATAACAAACTATTTTTAAAATGAATAAATAATTTCGAGGATATGATAATGAAAAAAGACTTTTGATTCTCACCATATTTCGTATTATTCAAATAACATCTATAATTAAAATTGAACAATAAACACGTTCGGTTTTATTTGATTCACTATGTGAATTAAGTAATCATTCAAATTCATTCTAATATTTTCACATTATATGATTAATTATCAGAAGACCATCATGGAAAACATGGAAGCACTGGATGGCCGTTTCGTTCTAGTATGAGACTGTTCTATAGATTAAGCTTTCGCGTAAGAGTTCGATAGGTCATGAGTTCAAATCCTACTGGCGGAATCGTGGATGCGCACTGCTGATGAATCCTATACTAGGATGAATTAGCCATCCAGTATTTCCATGTTGATCTAGCTTCAATTGACTCATGATTTCAACTTTACAAAATTACTAAAATCTCTACTAAACCACCCTTCTCATTGTATAATTGTTTTAAATTTCTATTCATTTTATCAAGTAAGATAAACGAGAATGCACCGAAACTGTATTTTATTTTAAGCAAAGATGGATAGTGGTTAGCAGTGGAATCCAGGATGCGAGTTTCGTCCTATTTGGGACTCGTCAGCTAGATGTACCTGCATCTCAGAGTTGATGTTCACTCTGGGACTCGAACCCAGTACCTTCCGCTTCAAACGCCATTGCGTTATCCACTCGGCCACTGGGTGAACATCAACTCTGTGATGCAGGTACATCCAGCTGACGAGTACCAAATAGAACAAAAACGCGCGTCAAACTGGATTCCACTGCTAGCCACTATCCATCTTTGTTTACCATGATTGTGAATTTAGGCTATATCGAGGCAATACGCACAGTATGCACATATGCCAATTAGAGACTGACCAGTTGCAGTCCTAACACATCAATGGGAAGATTCAAACAGACAATACATAATGAATTTGTACTTTATTTTGTTATTAAAATTACCATTTTAATATAGTTTATATATTCACAATGAAAATGATGAAAGAATAATGTAAAAAATATTAAATCAATGTAGAAAAGAAAAAATTTCTTTAATCGAAATAATAATAAAAATTCGATAATCTATCATGGATACGATTTGAATGTTACATCTTCATTGACAATAGTCAGTATCTATTCAAAACCTGGTGGATTATTTACAGGTGACAATTGTGATTCATTTTTATTCGAACTGAAACAAACAGAATATAAAACGTGAATGACAACAACAACAACGACAAAATGTAAATGAAATAGTGAATGAGAAAAAAATTTTTTTTACTTATTTATATTATTGATTCATTATTTCATATTAGTGGTCCATGATCTTGACTCCAGTGATATGGTATGATTGATTGTAATTGAGCCGTCAAATGCCCTGGTATGGCCGAGAGTGAGGAGAGTCCACTCTCCCTCTCGAAATGCTCTCACATGGCCATGTGTATACAGCCTTTTCAGGGAAGTCCTACTTACTGCCTTCTCGTGGCGGGGGTGTTGTTTACGAAAGTGAGAGGACGAAAAGCGAATATCCGGCTCTGTAACTGGGTCGGTGGACACAGGAAGTCCACCTAGGGGAGTTGGAAAACCCTGATTCCAAACCAATGGTGCACACGGGCTCCAGTATCCTGAGGGAACAAATGGAGTATGAACCGATTGTTGGTCACCGACTACCATGGGATTGCATCTTTTCACGATGCTCCACTGCCTTGTGGATCAGACCTTTAGGTCGAAGGCTCCGGGTGTAGCCCCTTAAGAAAACCACCTACTTTGGTCTGTGCACACAGGCAGTATCATAGCCCCCACACAATTGAATGAAATGACAATTTTTTGTGTGGCGCATACATTTCTGGTGCCCCTTTGTACCAATATTTATGTGTTCAAATAAATAAATAAATAATGATTGTTATTGAAATATGCATGTCGTCAATCCTTGTATTATAATCATCGACTTAATTCGTGTTGGTGAATAAAGGAATTAAAATAAGGCAAATATGAGAATGAATTTTTGAATTAGTGTATTTTGTATACTCATTGATGTGGACAAACAATCGGAGGGACGAAACGAAGTGAAGAGAGAGAAGCGAAATGACACGCAGTGAAGAAAGCATGTTAGCCAACTCTATTTAATCAAGTATTAATCGATATTTATAGCGAACAATAATAAGTTACAGATATGTGATGAATAAGACAAAAAAATGCACACACATACACTCAAATAAAAACAGTCAAGGTTGATAAGTGAATAATTAACTAAGTCAAAACATGACTCCAGAAGAATGGATAAATTGACCTCTCCAGAAGCTAGAATATGTAATGTGGGCTTGACATAGCAACTGACAATGCACCATTGTATCGTGTGATTTAATCACTCTAAACTCCAGTTGGTTTATTTTTAAATTTCATCAAATGAATCACATCAGCTATCCATCCTAATGAATAAATTTATTGTGTATTTCAAAGTTTATGGGAAGGCGGTAATAATAATATAAGTGTCTGTTTTTCTTCTAGACACCTAATAGAAGCACCTTGAAGATTTACTAAAGAAGCTTTATATACATATATGTTCTATAGTTACGTTTTATATTTCCTGGTAGAGATTATCTATCAATATAAACAATTATTGAGTACTAATAAATAAAAAATTTAGATGAATAGCTTCTTACAGATTGTTTAACAGTCGAATCTAATTTACTGAGAGGCGGGATCGTGGATGCGCACTGCTAACGAAACGGCCGCCCAGTGCTTCCAGGTTTTTCATAGTGGTCTAGCTTCAATTGAATCATGGTTTCAACCATGAGACTTACTGAGATACTGTATCATCCAGATTAGTGGTTGTTTTGTCCTCATTAGTTAAAAAAACTTAAACAATCGTTTGACTTGAGCTGAGTATATAGTAAACATGCATAAAGAAGGATCTTCAAAATCTAACCTAATAAGTGAGATTAGATGAATTACAAAAATCCCAGTTTTTAATATACAGGACTAATACCAATAACCAATCGACATCGAAATGTACAGGACAAGCTGTGAATCACATGTGGAGAAATTCAAACACTTCACTTCTACTCGAAGTTTGTGCTGATGATGTCGTCTAGAAAGACGATGAGAGCTCCACGACCAAACCATCCAGCTCAGAGAACAAAACACCATCAAAATCACCCACCTGAGCTACAAATCTTCTCCACCATCTCAAAACTAATACTTTAGCATAATTATTATTGTTTTGAACTGTCTAAATTATATTTTAAATGTTTTACATATTTTTTATTGTCATATGTCATTATTAATGAAACATTGAAACGTTGTCGGCAATGTCAATATGATAATTGGTTACTTTCTTTTTATATTATTTTTGATACAATTGAGTTTACCAATCATACTTTTTTAAAAATTTACCTCATCAATAAAATGTCTCTTTTGAAAAAAAACACAAAAAAAGTTACAATCTTTATATGAAAACTTAGAGTAGTTATATGATTGAAATCATCAATCAATTAAAGCTAGACCACCATGGAAAACCTGGATGCACTAGACGGCCATTTCGTTCTATTATGGGACACCTCAACAGTTCTCATTCACAACTCCGCCTCGAGAGATTCGAACATAGGACTTATCGGTCTCGCGTGCCAGAGCTTAACCACTAGACCACTGAGCCGGCATCCAACGGTGTCAATGTCTAAGTTCAACCGATCCACGAAGTTGATCAACCGTTCACCGATTGTCTTCAGTGAGTTGATAACTCACAACAGACGTGGTTTGAACTCCACTGATTACTGCTTCTCACTAGAACTCCAGGAAATATTTCATGGAGCCAGTCACTAGTGAGCATATGATTATTATCAGAAGGAGCTAATTAAATGATACATTTCATGTGTAACTAATAGTTTGATTGTTTTTATAAGAGTGATTGTTTAAAGTTTCTCTTTGGTAAGGTCAATTTTATAGACAAATGTAATAAACAGAATAACAATAGTTTTTATTATGGTTGGAGAATCAATAACCGACGAATGCTTCAATCAGTAATCAGTCCAAAACAATCATGAATGTAAATTAAGTAACTTTGTTACTGACACCTTTTAATGTAAAGTTGGTTGTGTGCTAACCTACTGATACTGCAGTGGCTTTTTCGTAATAACTTACTCCTAAAAACTAGAAGGAAATGAACTACTTCGGTTAGACAAATAAACCCATATGTTCGACATTCGATTTCAGTCAATCCCTGATATTTGTACGAGTCCACTTATTCGGTACTTTTCAATAAGATAAAGCAAAAAAACCCTGAATATTAGACATGAATTGACTGACTAAAGTAATCATATTAATAATAACAATATTCTAAGCGAAACATCTTACATATATATGCACATAATTTTATTCAGTAATAATATGACAACTTATGACTGTTACTAGTGTGGTGTGTACTACTCATATCAACATAAGTAGTACATGATGCTAATCAGGAATAGAATGTCAGGCAGGAGAAAATCGAGAAGGGAAGAACGGAAATAGAAAACAATTGGTATCAAAATGAGAGAATAACGAAATCGGAGACAATTGATTAACATTTTGCAAATTAGGTATTTACTGTATGATTCTCAGATTTTACTAAGAGATTTTATAATTTTATGTTCAACTATATTCGATTATCCCCATTTGTGTTCGTGTTCACGACACCAGCCTCATTTAAACTTGAAAATTAATGATTAATAGGATGATGAGAATAGATTGACCTCAGGAGAATAAGGGTTTAGTTAGTTTTTCAAATAACACCAAACTATAATGAGTAGTTATCCAGTTAAAAAGAACACATGTTAATCAATACCGTAAAGAGTGAATGAATAACTGAAACTTCATAGGTAACATTTAAGTTGATAAGTTAAGTGCTTCCAGTGCTTCCAGGTTTTCCATGGTAGTCTAGCTTCAATTGACTCATGATCTCAACTCTATAAAAAATAATAGTAATATATCAGAACTAGTCACTCTGGGGCATAGTTTATAAACAAAAATGCTTTACAATCCTGGATAGGATAATCCTATTCTTATCATTCATTAAGCACTTGTCTGTTGTTGAACTTTTTCAGGTCAACGAGGTGTTGCAGTTTTTGAAGTCAGGGTTTCTGTCAATTTTTTCGTTAAGTCAAGGATTTGAAATTGGATTTCAAAGGGGTAAATGTCTTCGGGAAATTTATTAGAATTTTCACAGCGATACACAAATTAATCTCCATTTACATAAAGACCTATAATAACCATTCAACCTTGTTTCAAACCATCAGATAGGTGATTCTGTTAAACTTTATCAGTGATGATATTTTTGAAATAGTTTTGACCTGAATGCGTTGTGAAGGTGATAACATATGATGTGAAGAAATATTTCTGATCTGGATCAAATAGTTTGTTTCATCTCAAAGTATCAGAAAAACAAAGGATTTACAAATACCTATATATAATCAGGTGATTGGAGTTCATAGGTAAAAGGAGATTCAAACTAAAAGGATTCAACGAAATCTGCATCTACTCTGTTGCTTGAAGATAAATCACTAGAACAAGCAGAAAAATTGTACATTCTGGTGTGCGTAGGTGCATTAAGTTTGTAAAACGGAGTACAATTAACACTAAAACGCAAAGCAATATGTATCAACTTGGGACATCTTTTGCAATACTATGTAGCTAGTTTGTATGTTGACGGTAAAGTTTACAAAATCTTAGTGTAAAATCTTCCTTAAAACTGACATTAACTAACTGTTTAGTGTTCAGTTATTACTATTTTGCGGTATTAATAGCTCCATTTCGCGGTCAGATCACGTAAAGAATATCTAGTATCCTAAGTTTAAAATGAAGGAAGAACTAATTTACGTATAATAATATAGTTTGAATGCATATCACCTTTTCTACAAAATGTCTACTCACTTTGTTTCAGAACATAAATCTACGTGTTGAAATGGTTCTTCATCAGATCCTTCATATGCATATTCTAAAGGTGATTCATTATTTTTATAATTATTTTCATTGTCATCATCATCATTTTCAGCGGCTTGTAAACGGAACTTGAGTAAATTACCAATATCCGTTTTACTTGTCGACTGCTCATCCATTTTTAATTGAGTCTCTTCTTGCATACATTGTAATGGTTCTTCTTTTATATGCATACCTGTAAATGAGATTTGTCAATCAAAAAGACTGTGAATTGATGAGCTTTTTCAGTAATTATCTCTTGTAATTATTACCAGTCTACATCGTAAGTTGTAAATGTCTAAATTTTAACTACACGTAACATAACTTACTTACGCCTGTTATCTCGCATGGAGGAGCATAGGCCGCACACCAGCATTCCACATCCGACCCTGTTCTGGGCAATGCTTTCCAGTTCTTTCCAGTTAACATTCATCCTTTTCATATCTGCTTCTATTTTTCGGCGTACTGTGTTCTTTGGCCTTCCTCCTTTCCGCTTCCCTCCACCATTCCAAGTTAGGGATTGCCTCGTGATGTAGTTTGATGATTTCCTCAATATATGTCCTATCTACTTCCAACGCCCTTTCCTAAATTCCTCTTCATCTGGAAGCTGATTTGTCCTCTCCCATAAAACGCTGTTGCTGATAGTATCCGGCCAGTGAATGTTGAGTATTTTGCGTAAACAACTGCTTATAAGTAGTTATACATTCTTGTCGATGGATGTAGTGGTTCTCCACGTTTCAGCTCCATACAGCAGGACTTTCTTGATGTTCGTAATGAAGATTCTCACTTTGAAGTTAGTTGACAGTTGACAAAATATTAGTGATGATTAAATTCACTTGAATCTTTCCATTGATGTTTATGGTTTTAATTGATCAGTCTATTATTGGTATATCTGCATACTGTGCGTATTGCCATAAGTCACAAGCATCATAAGCAAAGATTGATAGTGGCTAGCAACGGAATCCAGGACAGGCGTTTCGTTCCAGATTTTCAAGTCCCAGAATGAACATCAACTCTGAGACACAGGTAAATCTAGTTGAATACATGAATTCTACACCCGACCACTATCCATATTTGCTTAGAATGCTTGAGAGTTAAGGCAATATCGAAGCAATCCTTACAGTATACACTTATGTCAATAAGAGAATGATCAATTGCAGTCCTGAACATCAATAAAAAGATTCAAGTAAACAATATCAAATGAATGGAAACTTCACCCTATTGCACAAATGAATGGCTATATATACATAAAGCATATTGTAAAGATCGATTTGATAACAAAATCAAAGAATACTTTTACCCTACAAGAATATAAAAGAAAATTTGTAATGTTTTAATATGAAACGACTTCATTCATAGTTGTTATCAAGTTTTCAATGAACTAAACACAACAACAATTTTGAATTAGGTGACAATTAAAGTCTAGACAACCTTGAATTTCAAGTTCAGTTTCTTTTAATTAATCGTTAGAAAACTATAATTATCATTATTTTTACATTCCTGAGGATTAAATAGATATTGAACTGAAGCCTATACTAACGATTCTATGATATTTTGTTGAAAACTCTTTCATTCATGCTAATAAACTTATTCATATAGGATGATATATGTTTAAAATAAGAAATTTTCACCAATATGATAATACACTGTCATAAAATAGTTAAAGATTCTTCTTATTTATAATCTCGGACTATTGATTTATTGCACACTAACAGGTGTAAAATATCAGAAGGTGGTTTTGTGAAGATTTTTGTAATTTTATAGATGAGATGCGAACTGCTGAGGAGTTCCACAATTGAACGAAACGGCCATCCAGTTCTTCCAGGTTTTCCATGTTGGTCTAGCTTCAATTAACTCATGATCTCATCTGTAAGATGTAAAATAGTTCTTCAATACCGAAAGATGTCATCTGTCAGATAGTAGCGTTCGCGCGAGATCAATGGTCCTGGGTTCAAATCTCATGTGAGGGATCGTGGATGCTCTCCGCTGAAGAGTTCTATACTCGAACGAAACGTCCGTACAATTCTTCTAGGTTTTTAGTGTTAGTCTAACATTGATTGGTTCATGATTTCAATGAAATTTAACCATCTCCACAACCTCAAACAAAGAAAGCAGTTTAAACCATCTTCGGACTCATTTTTTATTTTCATTAACTTCACTTAGAGGTTATTCATTTATTATAGTTCTGTCTAAATTTTAATCTACTGAAAAGAATATTCTAGTGTAACTTGAATTTATTTAAGTTCGAAGGAGATAAATTATAATACGAAAGTGACAAGAATAATAAGTGAATAAGTACACTAAACGACGTGTTGCAGATTTGTTCAATTTTCTGAAATGTTATAAATTATGAAGAACTGAAATATGGAACAACGATATCAACGTTTTATCTCACGTAAAAAATCATCCGTTCGGTTATTCGAGTTCATTCTGATCTCCTTCTTTGTGATTAGTTGTCTTTGAAGGTTTTTTTTATCTTTATTTGTTCTTGTATTCCTGTTGGCCATCTTTTTCTTTTGACTTCTAGATATTCATTTGATTAACCTTATCCTTATCGTTGTGATAGATTGGATTTATCTCTATTTGATCTGAATACTATTCTGCTAGAAATTTTCTAACTTGCTTAGACTTTGTCATATTTAGAACTGTGACATTTCCATAATTGAATTTCTACAGATGGTTGTCCATGTACATGGATATCAGTGGTAACATATAATGTCGCTTTGCTGCTAATCTATTTATATATATATATATATATATATATATATAGGTAGGTGTAAATAATGTATTTATCTTCGTTTACTAGTGTGCTGTTTATATGATTTAAAATGGAGTGAAATTAATTTCAAATAGTTTCAATACCTTTATAATAGTTTGTGAAATATTTCGTACATACTGTAAATGAATTAGTTACCCATTAACCAAAAAAAAACAATAAAAGCTTAACAGAAGTGGGTTTCGTGGAGATTTTAGTAATTTTATATAGTTGAGATCGTGAGTCAATTGAAGCTAGACCACCATGGAAAACCTGGAAGCACTAGACGGCCGTTTCGTCCTATTATGTCGCTCCTCAGCAGTGCGCATCCACGGTCCCACCGGCTCAGTGGTCTATCTATTAAGTGTCCTGGCGCGAGACTGGTAGGTCCTGGATTCAAATCTCGCGAGTGTGGGATCGTGGATGCACACTGCTGAGGAGTGCCATAATAGGACGAAACGGCCGTCTAGTGCTTCCAGGTTTTCCATGGTGGTCTAGATTCAATTGACTCACGATCTCAACTATAAAAAACTTGACAATCAAACCTGTTAGTTGATTGAATACAATACTAAAAAAGGTATCTATCTAAATTCCAGATCATCTACATATTATCAATATGCCTACAATAGTTATTGAGTTTGTAAACGTATGTTCAGCTTAACATTTGGTTATTGTACCATTCAATCATTCAATACGTGAAGAAACCAAATGTTATTGTCATTCTCCAACTATCCTAAATTAAAATTTTAATACCTTTATGAATGTATTTGTCATTTAAAAAAACTACTGATTATATACAAAATTAGTAGAAAAACTACAACTGACTTCAAAAACAAAAACAAAATAAAATGTTTCGTCTTTCACCATGGAGAGTAGAACTTTTCAAAATCCAGAATATTTCGCGGCATCTAAATTGTATCCTTGAACCATATGAATTGTTTATGATAGTTATGTCACTTTTGATGCATGATACTATGTCATGTGAAATGTATGGGAATATCGTGTTTTGTTAAAATAATGGTAAATGAAAGTTTTGCTTTATGTTTTAATTTTAGTTATTTATGACATTTAGAAACTTCTTTAGTTGAAATATTTCTATTATATGAAGGGGGGGTTGTGGAGATTTTTAATAATTTTAATAGTTGAGATCATGAATCAATTGAAGCTAGATCACCAGTGCTTCCAGGTATTATATGATTGATATTTCTTAGTTAACCTGGATACTATCAGCAACAGCGTTTTATGGGACAGCACAAACCAGCTTACAGATGAAAAGGAAATTAGGGAAAGACCCTGGAGGTGGATAGGACATGCATTGAGGAAATCACCAAACTGCATCACAAGATAAGCCTTAAATTGGAATCCGGAAGGGAAGCGGAAAAGAGGAAGGCCAAAGAACACATTACTCCGGGAAATAGAAGCAGATATGAAAAGGATGAATGTTAACTGGAAAGAACTGGGAAGGATTGATCAGGACAGTGTTGGATAGAGAATGCTGGTGTGCGGCCTATGCTCCTCCACGAGAGGTAACAGGCGTATGTAAGTAGGTAAGTAATTTCTTATTATTAATAATTTACAATCATAGAAGTGTATATAATACTGAAAATATACAATTTAGTATAATTTATTTGTTTAATTAGGAAAAGCGATTCAATTAACAATATGAAATGTTTTTATTTTTTTGAAATCACGAAGCGATCAAAGTTAGACAACCATTGACAAATTGGAAGTAAGGAATGGCTGATTTGTAATAGTATGAAGCTTTTCATAATCTCACACTCACAACTCCGCAAACAGCTATTAGGACTAGGACTTTTGGTCTCGTGAGGGAACGTTCAGACTCCAAACCACTGAACTGAAATCAAATCGTATGTAAGTCTTGATTCAATTAATTCACGATATTGCGCGACCAACTTCGTTTAGTGATTTTAACATAGCTCAATAATCTCCACAACTCCATATGGATAAGTATCCACATATTTTACAATGCTACTTTTATGAAAACATTGCTGGTTTACAGCGAAGAGTAATCAACCAACTGTAAATATCTCAGCCTTCAAGGACATCGATTATTAGCACTTCAAATAGCTGATTCAAAAAGTTTCAGCTTGTGTAGTTGTCTTTCAGTCCACAGGAGAGCATCAGTCCCATAGACATTACAGATATACCATGCTGACTAGTGTCAACTAGCGGGGAACTTAAGTCTAGGGTAAAAGTTCACTACCTCCAACCTTTTGACGCTTTATATGTACAACAGATTTGTCGGAATAAAATTATCAATATTCTCACTGCGAGATTGAATAATCAAGCAACAAATATCCACTAAAATTTCAGTCTTACAATATAAAAATACTATGAATGAATTTAACTTACTATGAGGACTAGCTGGATAAAAATTTGTATAGACTGGAGGCAATTGTGGAAAAGTTTGAGGTTGTTTACGATGGCCACAAAGGATGTGATGGGACACTAAACAGAAGATGACTATAAGTTTAAAAAAATGAAATTTATGAAAACAGTTAAATAAATGATAAATTGATATTGCGTTATAATAAATAAAAGTTTAAAACATAAAATAATATCGTTCAACTTTTTGTATTGGTCGTTTAAATCTTCCTATCGATAGTTAAGACTGTGATTGGTCAGTCTCTTATTAGCTTGTGTGCATACTGCACGAATTACCTCGACATTGTCCCAAGTCACGGACGTTATGAGCAAAGATAGGTGGTGGCCAGCAGTGGAATCAAGAACTCGCGTTTCGTCCCACTTGGGATTCGTCAGTTTGATGTACATGCAACCCAGAATTGATGTTCACTCCTGGACTTGAACTCACTACCGTTTACTTCAAATGCAGTCTTGTTATCCATTTAGCTACTGAATCTAGATAACCACTGAACAATTGCAGTCCTAAACATCAAGGGGAAGATTCAAACGACTAATACAAAAGTTTAATTAAAACTTAATGCCGTTACATTAGCTAGTGGCTATGTGTACTCGGTAGCTAAGTGAATGACGTGATGGCGTTTGAAGCGAACAGTACTGGGTTCGAGTCATGGAGTGAACCTCAATCTCGGCGTGCAGACACACCCAACTGACAAGTCTGAAGTATGATGAAACGCACATTCTGAATTCCTCTGTTGGCTACCATCCATCTCTGTTTATAAAATAATGTCCTTCATTCAGCAGATCTCACTCACTTTCATTAAACAAAGTTTTCACATACTGAATTGGTACATTAATTCAAAGTCTAAATACTTGAAGTTTGTAAGAGTATCTTTATTAGGCTAGTAACATGTGACTTTGATTTTCAGATGTAAATGCTATATTACCATGGGAGATTCGTGGAGATTGTAAAATTTTCACAGTTCGGATCACAACCTGATCCAAGGTAAACAATCGTTAAAAAATGAGAAGCATTGAAAGGCTATTTCTTACTAGTATGTGAATCCTCACTAGTGCATGTTCACGAGCTCGGCTCAGTAAATCAAATTCATGACCTGTAATTTCGCGTGCAATCCCTTAATCTCTGGACCATTCAGGCCGCATTCAAAATTGTTGATGTTCGACTTAAACCAATTAACGATATTGCACAACCTTAATCACTTTCCTATGGTGGATAACTGTCTCACAACCGACTTGAATTGAATTCAACTGTTCACAGCTTCAGACTGGAATTCCAGAAGTTGCATCATGGCGTTTTCTCTAGTAAGCAAATAAGATCTATTACTACATGGTTATGGAGGCTGTTAACATTTTGCGGGTTTAATCACTAATTAACTTTAATTTGAGTTCATTGAGGTGATCTAATAAAGAAACTTCGAAGAATTTTCTGTATCATAACAAAAGTATAACATATTCTTCATTTGGATCTCTTTATCGATTATCTTATTCATTCATTATCAATAATGTAAAAATAATTTTTACGAAAAACTGACACGAACTGACGGAAAAATCACTGAAAATAAAGAAGCTTAAGATTAGTCATTGGTAAGCATCAATGAGTTCAGATCACTCAACATTGATTAATAATGTAAAATATTCACAGAAGGGGTTTTGTGGAGATTTCAGTAATTTTGTAGTTGATACCATGAGTCTGATAGGTCCTGGGTTCGAGTCTCGCGAGGCGGGATCGTAGATGTGCACTGCTGAGGAATCCGACAATAGAAGAAAACGGCCGTCTAGTGCTTCCAGGTTTTCCATGATGGTCTGGCTTTAAGTGACTCATGATTTCAACTGTAAAATATTCTATTTCCGACTATCTAATATTAATAATATAAAAATATTATTTGGTATTTTTCATAAGAAATGTTGAATCTCCTTGACCTGATTTCAACCGAAAGGAAGTAATTAATCTGTTTGTTTCAGCGTAATAATATTTATGAATGGAATAAGCCAATGTCTTTGTTTAACCCCAATAATATGAAGCTTTAATTTCATTTCAATCATTGAAGTGACTCAAAACTTTTATGAATTTTCAACCTGGTAAAAACTAGGTATTAGAAGGGATTTTGTGGAGATTTTAGTAATTTTATAGAGTTGAGATCATGGATCAATCGAAGAGTCAGTTGATGAGTCCCATAGTAAGATAAAACGGCCGTCCAGTGCTTCTAGGTTTTCCATGGTGGTCTAGCTTCAATGGACTCATGATCTCAACTCTGTAAAAACTCTTTAAAACTCTATAAAAGCCACAGTCCTTCTGATGTCGGCTATAGAAGATTCTTCTTCTAGTCAAAAATAAAGATCATAATAATAACAAGGATTGTTAAATCCAACTTAGTATTGTTTGTTTGGATCAGGACTCAGTAGCCGAGTGGATAACGGGATGGCGTTTAAAGCGAAAGGTACTGTGTCCGAGTCCCACAGTGAACATCAACTCTGAAATGCAGGTACATCCAGATAAAGAGTCCTAAATAGGACGAAACTCGCATCCTGGATTCCACTGCTAGTCACTATCCATCTTTGCTTACAAACAGTATTTTTTCTGGCTTAAAAGAGCTTGGTTCTACGAATTTTCACGTTTTATATTGTTTAATATTTATCTTTAAACATTTAACCAGTTTTCAATTATGATTATATTATCAGCTACAATCAAAGCGTTCTGGCAGAAGGAGGTTTTGTTGAGATTTTAGCAATCTCACAGTTGAGTTCAAGAGTCAATTAAACCTAGACCACCATAGAAGACCTGGAAACAGTGGACAACCATTTCGTCCTAGTATGGGTTTAAATCCCGTGAACAGGATCTTGGATGCTCACTACTGATAATTCTCATACAATGACGAAACAGCGGTCCAATTCTTTCAGGTTTTCCATGATGGCCTTTAATTGACTCATGAACTCAACTCTTTGAGTTTGTTTTGTGGACAGATAGCTAGCAAAAGATAATCTCAAATTATAATGGACCAAATATTTCATAATAAAATTACGTTTTACTTATAACTCATTACTTGAAGTAAATCATGGGAGTTTCGTTGTATTAAATAAAGTCGATTTTCAAAACAAACCTATCCCCAAAAATAATTCCTTTGCACTTAAATATACTGAAAAGGCATGGGTTCAAATCTCGCAAGGCGGGATCATGGATGTGCGCTGCTGAAGAGTACCACAATAGGACGAAACGGCCGTCCAGTACTTCCAGATTTTCCATGATGTTCTACCTTCAATTGATTCATGATTTCAACTATTAAAATAATTTTTTTCTGAAAATTTTTGGTTTACTAATTAAATCGATATATTTTATTCGTTGTTAAAATGAAAAAAAATAGTCAAATGGAATATTGAAGAAATTCTTCAACGGTGATACTGGATATTGAAGTAAATTACTGAATTCATGATTTCAAAACTCTAATTATTACTAATTCTATTGGGAACCAACAACTAAAATATCCTTTTACGTAGGTGTTAAGATGTTTGCTTATCATTCTTGTTTGTATTACACAGGAAAAAGGATTAAAATGGCTATTAGTTGATTAAAAATAGCTACCCCCACTAACAATGGGAATAATATATAAGGAATAGAATGTAAATTTCATTTTGATGTTCTTTATTATCAATATGACTTAAATTAGTAGGTTTCTAAATGAGAATGAACAGTTGTAAAAAAAACTTTCGGCGACGCAGTAGATGGAAGAAAAATGTACATTGTCTTATTAGGATACACACATATCTATATAAATATCATTTATGTATAATCCATTTATACTATCTACTCTTAATTTAACATTTATGAAATAACCAAACCTTTTATCAGGATGGGTTTTTTAAGGGATTTTAATGATTTGATAGTTCAGTTCATTAGTCATTTGAAGCCAGATCATCATAGAAATACTGGGAGTACTGGAAGGTTGTCCCCTTTTGGTACAGGACTCCTCAGTATTGCGTATCCACGATCCCGCCTCCTGAGATTCGAAACCAGAACCTGTAAGTCTCTCGCGTGAACGCTTAACCTGTAAACTACTGGTGGTAATGTCTAACTTGGAACAATCCATCATGTGCTCACTAGTGATTGGTTTCAAAAGGATGGTGTAACAATTTTGTGAATTAATTGAAGTTAGACATTAACAAAGTCGAATGTCAATTTAGGTTAAGGGTTTGCGCGTGCAAGACTGATAGGTCCAGTGTTTGATTCTTGCGAGACGGGATCGTGGATGAGCATTGCTGAGGAGTCACATACTAGGATGAGACGGCCATCCAGTACTTCCAGGATTTCCATGATGGTTTAGTTTTAATTGAATCATGAATTCAAATATCCCAATTTTTAAAAGTTAAGAAATACATAATCACATAGAATATATGAAAATCTGTTAACCTGATACTTTATATTTCTTTTCCAAATTCATTCATTATTAGTCTTTCAACATAATGTCCAATATCAAGTTAGTTTCCATGTTGACCAATGCTATTTGAAGAATATTTCGATAGTTAGAGGAAATTTTTTTATATCATGAAATGGTAACACTCATAATGGGAGATGAACTATCGTAAAGTATTGAACATATATTTTCTTTTTAGTTTAAAACATGTGAATAGTATGGATACTTGCGAATCAATTCGCTATTGAAATCTAGGTTATTAACTATATGTGTATAATCTAATTCAATAGTCACGAAGTAATTTATTCTACCTAACTTATCATTATTATTGCACAACAATAAGTTTATCTTTATCTTCAAATTAATTTCACTAGGGTAACGCAAAATGCATTCATTCATCCATTCATTGAATGAATCTTAAAATTGAACCATGTTTTAAATAAAAAGACATCCTATTGTTTAATTTAATACATCGATTAATGTTTAAACTAATTTTTGACCAAATATTACTGAATATTATTTTATATTTTTTTGGGTTCATCAAAAATAAGAACTTTGTCATTGCTTACAATTACTTACAGTAAAATCGGTGATTAAATCATAGGTGTTCACAATTGATTGATCACTGGGTGGTGATCAATGTCATGCGTGTCAAGTACTTCTTAGTGCTGATCGAATGTTATCGATCAAGTTGCAATGTGGCCACTAGTCTAGGTGGCTCGACACTGCGTGAACTATGTTGAGATAAGATGGTGGTTGGAGGTGGTCAACAGGAAACTCTGGACCTGGGTTTCATGCTACTTGGCACTCGTCAACAAGGTGTACCACCTAGACTAGTGGCCACATTGTAACTTGATCGATAGCGTTCGATGAGCACTAAGACAGACTTGACATACATGACATTGATCACAACCCAGTGATCAATCAATTGTGATTACACCTCAGTCATACAGGAGGTCGGTCGCGGGCCGAATAGCTCAATGGTAACGTCTCTGACTGCGAAGCTAGATGACACGGGATTGAACCCATCAGGGAGTATCAGTTCCCTCAAAATTACAAGTACACCTTGCTGATGAGTGCCAAGCTGCACGAAACCCGGGTTTCGGGTTGAAATGAAATATCATTATCCTACAATTTGGAAGATCTGAAATCATTCACTGATTTTAACATCCAAATTTGTACATTTAATACACTACTTATAATGAATTTTGAATTATTTACATGATGAACTTCTAAAGTCTACATTATTTAGGAAAGAAATTGTAATGTCACTTATAATGACATATCGTCAACATAATATTAACTTAGATTGCGGTCACATGCTAACTAGTAGTTTACAGTTAGTTTAAACAAATAATATTTGTCATCGGTGTCATTTTAAACAAATGATAATTTTGATGTATTTTCAATTTTCAACTTAGAAATGAATAAATTCACTTGATATTGTTTACTTGAATCTTTCCATTGATGTTTAGGACTACAATTGATCAGTCTGTTATTAGCATATACGCTTACTATACGTATTGCCTTAATTCACAAGCATTCTAAACAAAGATGGATAGTGGTTAGCAGTAGAATCCAGGAAGTGTATTTCGTCTTATTCGGAACTCGTCAGCTAGATGTACCCACACCTCAAAGTTGATATTTATTCCAGGACTTGAATCCAATACCGTTCGCTTCGCAGGCGATCACGATATTCACTTAACTATTGAGTCCTGATAGCTACTTACTCATTCTATGAGATGAAGCTTAAATTCACTTAGTAATGATGAGTCTTTGTATGTATTTGATATAATACTCAACATTACATAATATATATCAAATTCTTTATAACTTTTAAATAAAAGTAAACTTACAAAATAGAAATACAATTAATGCACATCCAAATGCAATCAGTGGTGTTGCTATTTCAGTAGTCATTAATTTAATTATTAAAGATTTTTCTATTAGATATCTAAATACTTCAATAATGTATCATTGACAATATCCCATTCACTATAATAAATACGAAGGTAATACAAATCCAAAATTGATAATAAGAATTAGTCTATATTAGTAATAGTTTCTTCTTTTATTATATCGGTAATTGTTGATGATGATCAAGATTTATATATAGAGAGACGGAGTTAATTAATTATTTACATGATAGAAATAACAGATTAGATGAACCACTGCCACCACCACCGACAACAACAACAACAATAGCAACAACAAAAAGAGAAAAAAATTCAAATAAACAATTGTGTTGTGATTTCTTCTTTGTTTAAATAGTAAATTTTCAATGTTACATTATTATGTAAAGGAGATAAAGTTGTGTATTGGTACCTTGAAATTGATTGGTTGAAATATACATAATTAAAGTAGCACACATCATTTGAGGTGCATTTTTTTTTGTTTTTTGAAGACAAACACATCTTTAATAGTAATAATAGTAATATTATTATTATTATTACATTTTAATTTTATACCATCATTATTGGAAAACAATTTAGATTATAATAAATAATGAGAAGGGGGTTTTGTGGAGATTTTTAGTAATTTTATATAGTTGAAATCATGAGTCAATTGAAGCTAGACTACCAATGGAAAACCTGGAAGCATTGAACTGCCGTTTCATCCTATTGTGGAACTCCTCAACAGTGCTCATCCACGATTCCGCCTCGCGAGATTCATTATTTTAAGTGCTCTATTTTTCTTTTCTTTTTTTTGAAAATGATTATTATATTTTAAAGGGAGACAAACACATTTTTAATAATAATAATAATAGTATTATTACTATTACATTTTAATTTTATACCCTTATTATTGAAAAACAAAACTGATGATCAGTTTATGTGAATAGATCAACTTTCTTATGATTCCTTTTGTTCAATCTAATGAGTTCATGTTTATCTATTGGGTAGTTTTTTGTTGATCGTTTTTTTTTTTTAATAGATTATTGTTTATTATATTCAAATTGATTGTTAACCAATTATTGAATTTATTTATTCATTTAAAAAAAATAATTAGTAATTGTAAAATGTCATTTACAGTGTTACTATATGAAAGAAATTATAGAGATTGTGCAAAGTGATATTAATTATTTGAAAAATTCAATTAAAAATGATAATGATACCGGCTGAGTGGTAGTGGTTAAGCGTTCACGTGTGAGACCCATAAGTCCTGGGTTCGAATCTCGCGAGACGGGATCGTGGATTGAACGAAACGGCCGTTCATTGATTCCAGGTTTCCCATGGTGGTCTACCTTCAACTGACTCATGATTTCAACTATATATGAAAAAGAAATAGTTGAATTATATTTCTTTAACCAAGTGGAAACCTAGAAATTCCAATAGAAGAAGTATTTGTTTTCTTTCAAAAGAACTTATTTATTACTGTCGTCAAAAAATTCATGGTGACTTTCATAAGCTGATACAAGTTCAATTTATGTTAACCTTGGTTGAAAACCGCACATATGTATAATCTGAAGAAAAGGGATATGGAGTTATGTTAAAAGAACGATTCTTAGATTTCTAATTTTCGATCCTACAGGAATCCTATAAATTGTCTTATTATGGAACTTTATTCATAATCCTACCACAAAGAATCAAACCTAAGGCTTTTGGTCTCACGAGAAAGCGTTTAACTTCTATACCATTAACCTGGTATCTAACGGTGCTGATGTATAACTTAAGTCAACTTTTGAACCCTCATTTGTTGTTTGTGGTTGATTTCTATTCTGCACTCGAAATGTTAGAACTCCACTGTTCACTGCTTTTCACTAGAACAAGATGAATTGCATTTTGAGGCTAGTCACTGATGTGCACATGATTATTTTTAGTTTAGGGAGATTAATGGAATTTCAATAGTTTAGTCGTCGTTGCTCACTGCTGAGAAGTCCCATGTCTTCCTTGATGGTGTGGTTACGATTACTTTGATATTGTTTATTAATGATTCATTATAAAAATCAATTTAGTCTGAGATAAGTTAATGACTGTTATGGGAACTAATACTTGTTGGATTAAACTTGTTTAACTGAATGAAGTTTTGAGTGATGGATTTCTTATTTCATTCAACTGATTAATTTTTTTTGCTCGTTTCAAATTTTAGAAATAAGGGCATTATAATTTTTAAAGTATTTTAATTAGACTGTCACAATGAACTCGAATTTAAATGATTGGAATAGAATACATTTAAAATGAAAAATGAAGTATAAATATATAAAACAATTTGAATCAGGTACTGTAAATGTCCAGGTTTCTATGGTAACACGAAACTGGATTTAAAGCTCTACGACAAAGTATGTACGATTTATGTTTATATGAACAAATTCTTTGCAAACAATTATAATGGAAGTGTGTGTGCTATAAAAAATTGAACTCAGGGCCTTCGTTCTCGCGTGTTATATCTTGTGGCCGAGTGGATGCCTAGTTGATGTGTGACGCGATAAGACCGCCAAACAGGGATCAGCGAATTATAGATTGGAACAGCGACACACGAAACCGTACGAGCAGACTAGAGTGCTAACCGGTCCTGCGATCTGTCTAGCCTAACCAGTTAAGTCCAAAACACCGATAACAGCCTCAGTGGTATGAATCATTATTTACAAACACACTGGTTTTTTATACAAACCAAAGCAATCAATAAACTGATTATAACTCAATAATCGTATGATAATAAGTCAAAGGTCAAAATAAAGCTAATTATAAGAGAAATACGATTATGAATAGTTCAGTTACGTAATAATTGTACAATAGGAAATAGGCATAATATATTGGTCGATAAATAGTCCTTAGAGTTACCATTCGTAATTCACCGCGGGATATAACACGAATACAATGTCCAAACCACTGACCTAGTATTCAATTCTGTTAATCCCTAAATCCAACTAATCCACAATATTGCGCGACCATTTTCTGTTATATTCAATGGGTAACCGCTTCACACCTGATACGGTTTAGCTCTACTGGTCATGGCTTCTCATTAGAAGTGCGTGTCTCAGGGTTCTGTTTTCGACTTTTGCTTAGAGGTTCTGGATCCACACTGCCGTGGAGTCCCAAGCTTAAGCAAAGTGAATAGCCAGTGCTTTAACGTTATCGCTAGTTTGATCGGCTTCTACTTTCGATGAAATTCAAACACCTCCACAACCCTATACTAACTATTTTAAATACAATCTACATTTCCATTCTTCTAACAAACCTAAACTTGTACAATAATTTATTTATAAAACTCTTTATTGCATAAAGTCTAGACTAAATGCAATCAACATACTTCATCTTACGAGTTTAGGTATTTCTACTTTTAATAAGTTGTACCATGTAAACAAACACATTTCGATGAGATTACGAACTAGAATAAAAAGTGCTACAAATCATTGACTTTATTACAAAGTTGACTAGAATTAAAACCATTGAAGGAAATCACTATAGATCAATAAAGAACACAAGTTGTGTAATAAAGGATTATTCAAGTTTTAAGTATGATCGACATATACTTATTCAATATAGCTCTATTTAATATAAATGATTATGGTATACCTTAACTAAATGGCATACTCTATAGGATTATTTTTCTAATCGGTAAGAATTAATTTCGAAAATTACAATAAGGGTTTTTTTTTACTTTATGTATATAAGCAAGGCCAATGAGTAGAGTATTCCATTTTCATCTTATTTGTTAGGTTCAATTAAAAAACTATATAAGTATTCCTATGTGACTTTATTGATATTTCTAACATAGAGTAATTATATGAATTTTTACGTTTTATAATGTAGTGAATGAGAACACAAGTGGGAACAATCGATTGTATTTCAATATAAAATTATAGAACATCTTAGAAAAATCTGAGAACCATACAGTAAACGCTTCATTACCTAAATGTTAATCAATAGTCTCAAACTTGACTGTTCCTTTTGGAAATATCAATAAATTGTGTCCAGACTTCATTGTTCTCTCGTTTCCACATCAAACAATCTTTGTTCTTGCACTCGTTTCTTCGATCATCTGGCGAGAGTTTGAGGGATTTCAAGGTCATGATGCCAATTTTAGTACCTACTGCTCATATACAATCGGTTTCCAGAGAATTTTAGAAAAGACTTGACAATTAAGCGGCTACAAAAAGTGAGATTACTAAAGAGTTCTTTTATTTGAAATTGCAGTGATCAAATGACTTGTAGACATTGTGCAAACTACCGTGATGTTGTCCTTCGATGTAACATATTTTTAAGCAAGACGTTTGCTAGAATAAGAACCTTCCAGATTGAGACTAAGGCATATAATAATAATTTTTGTGAACTGTATAATAAAAGCACCAGTATTATTGGCTGCAATAATCCCAGATGTTACTGAAACTTCCGCTGTTCTGTGGTATGAGTATTGTGGGGACATATCCATAATAAAAATGATAAATTTACACAACGGGAGTACACAAACAATATTGAAGCTATGTGGTAGAGGCCGAGAGGGTTATTGTGACCTTATCATGGCCCTAGAGACTGAATATTATGTAGCCATATGCATGAGTTCCTCTACCTTACGCATTACGACTTTAGAACCTTTGAAACTCTTTCTAACCTTGACAAGTTTCTGGACCATATAAAAGAAGTGTATCCACTTGAATTATTTGGTTTTGTATAATATATTTTTACTCTACACTAACTGTTACCTGATTGGCTAATACTTCTCAAAGTCACTCAAGATTAGTTCAAAAGTCGTCCATAAATCATAGTCTCGCCGATTTTCTTAGCCGTCTGCTGACAACTATTTTACATTCGATTGATGATTCATACTACTTATATCTGTCGATATCAGTAGTACACATCACAGTAAGAGCGGTGTTTTAAATCAAAGTAGATTCGTTTAAACACAATGAAATGAAACTTCAATCTAATTACTATGTATCATTAATTCTTGTTAAAATGATTCAATATATATCAAATGAT